CGTTGAATAAACGTCGCCTCATTATTTATTAATGCCGGTGCTTTCAGTGGCCGACAGAGTCCCAACCATTTAGAACGTCGCTCATTGCGTCAATTTCAAATATGATCATCACTTCTGCATTAACCCATAACTTCAAAATAATGTTATTATCCTATTTTCATTGAAATACTACAACAACTTTATCATCTGCTTATTAAATTTATTTTAGCTTTAATCAATAATTTCATATTTAATATAGTAATAGAATGTATCATAAATAAGCATTTGATTGACAGAGGTATGCAAAACGTAATGATTTGGAGCAAGTTTAATGGTAGATGGAGGTGTGGGTTGGTTCAAATGAGAGATGTGCAGGAGGTAATAAATCCTCATTGGATTTAGTTGTTATACAGTAGTTTGTATAAGGGTTTTCGTGTTGTTTTGTTTGTGAATTCAGGTAAGATCCTATTAAATTATGATTGAGATCGAGTGCGGCGGATAAAAATCGAAATCGGTCCGAATGGGCGTCAAGAGATTTATACATTTTCCCGTACCTTGAAATGACAATTAACCACACGCCCACGCACGTTAAGTATTCACAATTACCTCTTATATATCATGCATCCATTAGAGTAATGCAATTTAAAGCGGGCATAATAATATTAAGAGGACGAAGGATACGAGTGCGAGAGAAGGATGGAACGGGATGGTAGGAAAGAAGAATAAGGAGAAGAGGAACGCGCAGCGAACGGTTATAAACCCGTTGTTGTCCGTTTATTTCATTTACTCCTTTTTATTATGGCCATCCGCAATTGTTGTAATGCGGCCAGGGAGGCGATGGGAAAAAATGGACTATAAAAAAAATGGTCAATTGCCTTTCCTAATTGCTCCCGACTGCACCGAACTTTGTGGAGCTCCGATCTTGTCCTCCCTTCCAAACATCATCGCAGAAGTCAAACGCTTCAAGCTAGCCGCGCATATGCTTTATTAGTTATGACTTGTCAGCTCGTAAATTACAGAATTCCCTCGGTTAATTCAATTCGAAAGATTCTTGAGTAAAAAATGTTAATTGCTTTAGGTTCTCGCTGAGCCCTTTTCCACACCATCCTTTGTTTTTCTTATTATTTTATAACCATGTATAATTTAATATTCTAATGCCCGCAACGTCTGGCTTTCGTGATGGGAATCAAAAATTTGACATTTAGTAATGACGGGTGTTCGCCAATTTGCATTTGGCCGCGGTATCATTTTTGCTTCCATTCCGAATGTTTGGTTAAACAGACTGAGGCTCAGGGCGCCCCGCCTTAGGGGTATAAGTTCCTCTTTCGTTCCATCATAATCATAGGTTCAGGTCCGCATCAAATTATACCTCTCTTTTTTTTTATTTAATTCCACGTTCCTCCACCGTTTTCGTCGATTTTCCTCCCCTCCCTCCCCCGAATTCGCCTTACTTTATTTCATTCGATTCCGATCTCGAATTCGCCGGAATCAATTATATAATTCGAATTTGCATAATGCCTCCGATCGGCTATTAAATATCACACACGCTGCACCACTTACACATGTTCCATGCAACGTAATTCGTGGTTCCTAGACAAAATATTTCCCTCAAAAATGATTCATCCAAATTCCCCAACAACATATAGACAAAACGTTGACAACGTAAATTCTTTAACTTTTGTTTAGAACATCTTTCAACATGCATAACTTTAATATACAATTCTAGGAAGTAAAAAAATAAAAAAGGATTGAAGAAAATCAATGCTACGATAAGAGAGATCACCATTTAAGGCATTGAAGAATGCAAGTTTTCCGGTTTGGTAATGAAAAGGAAGAAAGAAAGAAGAAGTAAGCAACCGATATTGGAAACAACTCAATTTCACGAGAATTACGCAACAAAATATAGACAAAACGTTGACAACGTAAATTCTTTAACTTTTGTTTAGAACATCTTTCAACATGTATAACTTTAATATACAATTCTAGGAAGTAAAAAAAAAGAATTAAAGCAAATCAATGCTACGATAACAGAGATCACCATTTAAGGCATTGAAGAATGCAAGTTTTCCGGTTTGGTAATGAAAAGGAAGAAAGAAAGAACAAGTAAGCAACCAATATTGGAAACAACTCAATTTCACGAGAATTACGCGTTTTAATGAACTCGCCGTCAAATTTTATAGAGCCAATAAATACCCATACTTATCCCGATTTCGAATCGTCGAAATGATATTAAACGCTGGTAATAAACGATCTGCTACTGCCTGAATCACAGATACGATTCAAACAAAAAAAAAAACGAGCAACAAACAAATTAAAAAAAATATATAGTTTAGATTCCTAAAACAAACGTAAAAGTCAAATTTAATAATTGTTATTTATCTCTATTAAATTATTATATCGAATTACATTGATTACAAAACCAAGTATTATTATTTGCGTTCAATTAGTTTTCCTCGTTGCCCATGAATAAAAAAAAATACTGGCAAATAATAATAGACCATAATATCATATATTTTTAAACAAATATTATTATTTTATATTTTATTTAAAACAATGATTGATTCATTTCCAACGCTTCAACGCTAATTATTAAATTAATTAATGTAATTTTCTTTACTTTCCTAAACAAAATTAGTTCAAATCATTTTTTTTTTAGTTCGATAAATTTATAAAACGAAAAATTATTTAAAACGGCCAAGTATTTTATAAATTGCATTTTTGTTGGTTAAATGAAATTTTAAAAATATGCTACATTTCGTTTCATAAAAGAAAATAAAAGCTAATCATATTTACTGACAGATTAATTAAATTAGTCTGATTTACATGGAAATTACAATGCAAAAGTATTTTTCTTTATAATTGCAACTTTCCCGACGGATCGCCGCAAAAAAAATGTAAATCAATTATTGACTTCAATTGAGTACTACTAATAGAGGAATTGCTTTGTTTATTAACAACAATATTTTTATGTGATGTAATTTTCTGTAATCTCTTTGTAATAATATTGTAGATGAAACACAGCAATTATACAAGTGAAATGAAATGTGTAGGCGAATGAGAGAAGAAGATGAAACAACAACAACAACAACAAAAAAACAAGAAATTTGGTGTTAATGCTGTGCGTAGAGCATTAATCATTGACGATGACTGTGGAAGTTCTCGCGTGAAATGTAAAAATTCACACTTAGTTATTCCGTCCTTGAGTGATTTATTGCATTATCGAATCATTAGAATATTTAATAAGCGCATTAAACAAGTTAATATATCAATGAGCTCATAACGAAATGAATGCCAATCGAATGAAATGGTTTTTCGCTCATCCAGAAATGAAGTGCATTAAAAAGATGAGACATTGGAAAAATAACAGTATTAGAAAGTTATCGATTTACGCATTGAACATTTCCAATTTATTACACATAAAATTAGGAAATATATTTCTACATTTTGATTATATCCATCATTTTTTAAGAAATTACCATAGACGAATTGAATAGAAAAATTTAATAATTATAATTAACTAATTGATTTATTTTGAGCAAAAATTTATAATTAAAAACTTTTATTTTATTTATAATAATTTTATATGTAAATTCACTAATGTTATATAATCAATTGATTGGACGATTTAATGAATTTCAAAATTGATTTATATATACATTTATATAATGAAAATAAATGATTCACCATATAAATGTTTATAATAAACTGACCGTTATGTGATACATTTGTTGGGCTTTTGAATGCGGCCTGTTTGTTTTTTTCGTACATTCCATTAAAAACAAATTATTTTTCATGTGGAAATGGAATTTTGGCCACGTATTGTTGAGTGGGAAACACAATAACGAATTGGTAGATTCATTTATCCGTTGTTTTATTTATAATGTTTTTGTTGTTAATATAAATATTGTGGAAATATGTAACACTATCAAATTCAGTTACATTCATATATATATATTTTTTTATTATATCTATATAAATGCGAATTTGCAATTCGGATGAAAACAATAACGAATGAACTAATTTAATATAACAATAATAAAATTACATACATAATTATAGACAAAAAAAACATACGAAATTTATTCTTCTTTTTGAAGATTTTATGTATAAATCGCTATGTTAATTTATTGCTTTTAAACTTGTGTTAACATATAAAAATGAATAATTTTGCTTTGAATACTTTTAATGTTATTAGTTCAAAAAATTATTTAATTTTCTTAGACGAATTATCATCAATAACTCAATTTCATTTATTTTAAATGTGATAGATATTTTAATGATATAAATTCTTGAGTATTTCTGATAATTTTTCTTAAGATTTAGAATGTGGTAATTTGCTTTTCCTTTTTCAGTTTCATAGCAATTACACGCTTTATTGCCGTGGAATTAATAATGTCCATTTTATTTGTATCTGCGAATCTCATTGGAAGGAGAATAAATAAAATATTTCTAGAGACATTTCGACGGTCTGCTAAGTTATGCCACGATAAAACTACAAGCTCGTATCCTCAGCCGTCGCATAAGTGAATACGCTAATGCCTCAGAACTTCTTTACTCAGTTTCGCCTTATCTAAATTAGATGTGAAACATTCGTAAGAAAAAATAAATATTTTAGATTCAGAAGGAAGTGAACGAAGCTGGCAAGGACAACAAGTATATTTTTTTCTAGTATTCTCATAATGTATTTATTACAATTATATTTGCTATCATGTCTTATAATCACTTGTAAAATTTTTGTTTTAAAGTTCTTCTTTGGTTCCTACCTACGCCTTCTGTTAATTATTATTTTTTTCACTTTTTGGTGTGAATTCGATATTTTTGAGTTAATTTAATTAAGTTGTATGTCCCAAGTAATTAAAGTAATCGCAACTTTTCTAATGGTTCGGGCATTTTGGTTTTGTCTCTTTGGAGAAACAATTAAAAATAAAAGGATTGTAAAATTTGATGTGCAATTTCTAAATCCAGTGGTCTCGGGGTGGTGTAAATATCGTAGAGATGTTATAGTTGATTGGTAGACTTACATGCTGTTGGTGGTATTCCAGTGGACGTGGAACGATTTGGAGCAGGTGGACTCGGTGCACAGGAGCACGGTTTCCAAACAGATGAGGAGGACGACGGTCAAACAGGAGGAAGTGGCTTTGAATCCGGGCAAAATAATCCCGCACCTTTTGATTAGCACGGCCATGGTAAATAACATTTCACAGGGTACTCTCGGGTTTTGATGGTACTGTTACAGTACGACACACGCGGACGACACTTGTCCTGGAGGATCACGAGGGGGAGATGAGTTCGAAATAGTCCTTAAGATTCGAAGAGGTGATGGTGGTCCTTAAAGGTGACGACGGCAACGACGGTACTTTGAAGAGACCGATGATGGCTTAGAGCCGGATGATACGCGGAGTCGACGAAGAAGAGGCTGTCATTGTTGACGAAGGATGTTATGATGTGGAGGAACGGCGGCGCGACGCGGCGTGCTTTTCCAGACGGAGCTTTGGCGAAGACTGAGCGTGCGATGAGCACTCGATGCCGGCGTCGAATGCGTTCTGAGCCCCGTGTGGTGCGCCAGGCTTGAGCGCCAGAGGATCTTTTTTTCCCCGCTCCTCTTTGGTGCGCGCCGGTTCGCATTCGTATTCGTATTCGGCCGACGGTTCTCGTTGTACCAAAAGCCACCAGGCAAAGCAAGGTAAAGCAAAGGCAAGGCAAGGCAAAGCAAAGCAAAGGTAGAAGTAGAGGTAGAGGCTGAGGCAGGTGATGGCCGAGCCTGCAGGTAGAAATGGTAGAATGCGGCCGAAGTGGTACCTTTCGAGTGGTACCTTTTACCGGTGCGAGACTTATGCTGCGCTCTCCGTCGTCCATGCCTTCCATACGTACGTACCTACCTTAGGACCCATGGCCATCCATGGCAAAGCCAGCCAGCATGCGATGTGCACTTTCATTCGGATTTCTCCAATAAAACATACGATCATGTCTGCGGCCGCAATCGCTCGCCCGATCAGAATGCGTACTGGTTTATGGTGGACGGTACAGCTTATGCCAAATATCTCGATAATAACCACCATTAATTAGCCCCAGAGCATATCCAGAATCGACAACAGCCGTCCCTGGGACGCTCGCATCGCGCCAGGCCATCTATCTTACTGGGGGCGGATTCGCATCCTTACATATTCACCCCATGCATCAACGTGCATACGTATACCTTCACAACAACAACAACAATTATACCATTTCAATTTTATGAAACTGCCTATCTGAATCTCCCCCTGCGCATTTATATATTTTTTTTATTCTTACCATCTCCTCGACTCCTATACACTAATTTATTCATGCAAAAAGTACATGTCAGAAATACATTAATAAGTAATTTGATAGATACATCTGCAACAACTTTAACATATTAACCTCAGGTGTCATTCATCAATAATAATTACCAACAAGTAAAACAACACAACTATTACATAATATATTTTTACAATATACAAATTCATAATACTAATTTGAAAAAAAAAAAGAATGAACTTTAACATATTAACCTAGGTGTAATTCATCAATGATAAATACTAAGCAACGGGATATACACTCTACCCTACTATATAATATAACAATCGATTCATGGCGTATATACATCTTATTAGAAATCATCTCGTACTCCTAGGTACTATTCATCAATTGCAAGTACCAACCACGAGAAAAGCACATGATTATACCTCTAGTACTTTCACACGTTGTATAACCATCGATTCATCTATCGTCAACTAATTTATTTTGGAATTTATGCACACGAAGCAAGTAACACACGTTGCAGTACTATTAGGACATCAATCTTATTAGAATTTACTCTATCAAAAAATATTAAAAAAAAAAAAATACATTCCTTTAAAAATGTAAGATATGCAACCAACGTGCAAGTAAATCATGAATGAATTTATAAAGTAGAAAGTAAAAGTAAATTTGATAGAAAAAATACGTGTGTAAAGGAATGTGGCAAAAAAACGTAGACGTCTGCAAAATACTCGTAAACATGAATGAAACGTAGTAAAAATACGTGTAGAAAATTCCGTCTCCGGACTAGACGATAAGATAAAAAAAAATACATTCAAAAAATCGACAAGAAACAGCAAAAGAAATGTATAAATTATTTCCATGTTTTGACTACTTATTTTATTATAGTTTCATTGAAATCCTTTCTATTTAAATTCTTTGTTTTTTTTTACAGAAATTTTAATTAAAATTATAATTAAAATACGAAAATTTAATAATAATTGTAAGTTTTATTTAATTAAGTTTATGAATGAAAATTGCATACGTTGGCCACCGATGCATACCTTACTAGAGGGCTGCAAGCTGAGAATGTGGATGAAGGGTCGACATGCTGGGTATGCATAGGTATTTCCATCTTCGAGTTAACGCCTAGCCCCGGGTTGAAATTTGCTACATAACCTCTCTATTTTGATCTTCCACGTATCAAAGCGCAAAGCGAATTAGTGTATGGAATTTACTTGAGATATAAATTTATTTTTTTTGCGTCGGACATTGCCGGACTTTAATCGACGTTGCCAACCGGAAAGTTTTGCAATCACTCATCTCATCCTATCCCATCACATACTCGAAGGTGTTTATATCGCATTATATAATAACGCATTAAAAGATATTAGAATGTTTTATTACGTATGACAATTTTCCAGCAATTAATACAGAAATACCGTTCGTTTTTAATTACTACTGTATTGTTAATTAACAGGGTTTTTATATATATATTTATAAAAATAAAATATATTAAAAGAGAATTAGAATTAACTAATTTTTGAGTATTTTATTTAGGTTTAAATAAAATCTGATTGCAATTGTTAAGTTTAGTTGCTTTAAGTTTAATGCTGTGTATTCTTAAAGAAATGTTGCAATGCGGCAAGGTAAACGTAATATGGAAATACCGAACTGGAGAACATTAAATGTTAAGTCGGAGGTTGAGATACGAGTGGCCGATGTTTTTGGAAGGACGTTTTTTGCAGTATTCCGCGGGAATTATTTTATGTGGAACTGCAATCATGCAGTCCGAAAGGAATTCGTGGGTGATAAGGACCAGACAACAAACAGCGAGGTATCCGCGGTACGTGCGATTCGGATTTGGGAAATGCACACAGCCTCGGCCATTACTGTTACCATACAGCATATACAGGGTGAGTGTAACGAAAACAACAACAACAACAACAATAATAATAAAAAAACAAAAGGATAAGGAAATGCTTTGATTATACCATCATTGGTTTGTTCCGTTCTAAGCGAAACGCTTTCCAGTGATGCAAATGATAATAACGGCCGAGCAAGGAAGTTTGCCGTTTGCGTTTATTTATTAAAACAATGCAAATATATGCGGTGAAAAAATCGGTATCCGGTGCAGCGGTCCGAGGATAGATACGATAGGATGGATAGGTTCGTGGATGGATGGGGGAGCGTTTTGTAAACTCCGTGTCAACAAAAATAAACGCTTCGAAATTGTTTCCACTTAACGTCCGACATCTCAATTGCGACGTACTTGCGAGGCGAACGCCATTCTTCTTCGATTCCGATTCGTTCGGATCATAAATATATCTTAATACGCTTATAATGCCGACCCGAAGTTCAAGTTCAAGATCAGGTTCACCGTTTCGGCCCATAAGGAAACACACGTTATTCGATAATGTGATCCACAACACCACATCAATATAATCAACCATTCTTCTTACACGATTTATTTTTCTCTTTCCTTTATGACTCTCCACAACAACAAAAAAAAACATATAAACCTTCACGCAATCTTCCAACAAGCTTCAATTTAGTTTTACCTTCATAAACATTTGGAACATTCAAAAACCTACCAGCATCATTTAGATACAGGCATTAAAAAATAATGCATTTAATTAGAACGACATAGAAATGAATAATTTAAATGAAACAATCAAAATTAATTTTGTTTTCACGTTTTTCTTTTTATTATTGTAATAAAGAAATAATATATGATTGTTGCGTAACGAAATCGAGGATTTTTACGAGTGGGCTATTTACGTCCGCGGAATAATTTACGGTGTTAACGGAATGCATATAAACAATGAAGTATCAAACAAAAAACAAAAACAGGAACAAATGATGGAAACTGTAGGTTTTCTCTGTTGGAATCGTTGCGGTTTCGATGCGATCATCTTTGTTTCTAGAGTGTATGTGTGTGTGTGTGAGAACCGGAATTTATGTAAACAAAGCGCAAAAAATTGTCGTCCGTCGGAGCGGCATCTTTTTCGTCAGTCGCACGCAATAGGAGGAGAAGGACGAAGCAGGAGGCGACACGAAACAAAAGGAGCAAAGAAAAGATGTTGAAGAAAGAAGAAGACTAAGACGAAAAACAACAAGGAAGGTGTTAACAAATGCGAAACAACGCGCAAAAAAAAGTAAACGCATCGATTAATCAGTTTATGGTGCAGTCGCTCAATGGGAATTATTGAATGAAACCGATCGGAACGTGAATTTACAACCTCGCTTCTCTTTTATTTATTTTTTAATGTACTCTCCATTGTCATTTCAGGAAAATTTAATGGTTTTGCTTTCAAGACAATTTTTATTGTATTGTTACGTTTGTAAAGAAAATTACAAATAATTAATTAAAAACTATATAAATAAAATTTGCTTAATAATTAAGTTTGACAATAATTATTTTTTAAATTTTACTAGTAATTGAAAAGTATTGTTTAAATTGTGAAATAATTGAATTGGGTTCTGAAATATTGGATGAGTTGAAGCGGGTGCTGGGTCGTTGACGTAAGGGTTAACAAAAGGCGTACGAAGGTTTCCAATCGTGGAGGCCGTTGCGTTGCGTTTCTCTTTCGCAAGTGGTGCTTCATTGTATTATATCCATATTATCCATCGAAAGACGAGACAACCAACGAACGGATCGTGCGGAATTCTGAGCGTGGCTTATATTAATTTAAGGATAAATGTCTCACCCGGTATACTAATTAAAAATTTATGTGCAAATCCGGAGCGGGAATGGGGTTCGTGCCTTGATCGCTAATCGGCATCTCCTTCGTACATGTGTGTGCATCCGACGCTCTCTGAAAATTTTATAATCGAATCATAACTTTTGCTTTAACGTATTGTTTAAAGTTTTGGAGTGAAAATTTGCGGCCTAGCACAAAAGGCACGGTTTTAGTGCTTTCTCGTCGGCATAATAGCTCTCATTAGGGACGTGGGATGAGGTAACTGTGCGACCGGAAAACGGGCCGGGAGTTGACAGTACCCAGAAAACTTTTAACCAACTAATGAAAGATGCAGAACAAGCTTTTTAAGCCTTTCATCCACACACACAAAAAAAACAACAACAAATCAATATAA